GAAGTAAATTGTGAGACATATCAGTTGATTAGTAGCATGAATCAATCTGTTAATTAGATGCATGGAATGTGGTTAGGCATGGAATGATTTGTTTTTGATGTGAAGTGTGGGTAATTTGAATTGATTAGAGTCAGTTCCCTTGTGTTTATTAGATGCAAGGTGTGGGGTGAGATTAGCAGTCTCAATTTTTATCTAAGCAGTTTGTACGAGTATTATATGTGGTGTATCTGAGATATTATAATGGGCATGCATAGCATTTTCTTGTTTAGATGCAATAGTTGGTTTAAAATAAGCAAGGTAGAGGCATTGTCCATAGTAGAAAACTCTATGTGAAGTTCAAGTAAAAGGGCATTGTAATTGATAAGAATTGAATGTGTTCTACAATTTCATCAGTCATGAATGTGTTCAAAATTTGATATTGGATGCAAGGTGTGGGTTTAGTTAAGCATTCACAGTTTATTATTGGATCAGAAATGAATGTGTTCTGAACCAGACATTCAGGATGAAACCTTTTTTCATGTGGTGCTTGTTGGTGCTTGTAGTTTTTTTAATTATTATTATGTGTATGCATGTCCTTTGTTGGTTTTGTGCAGTAGTTGATTCTAAATAAGCAATGTATTGCATGGTAAATGACAAGACAAATTAAGTAAAAGTCATTGAAAAGAATATTCTAATTGATATGTGGGATAAGTATCTGCAATTTAAATTAAATTCAATGCAGTAGTACATTAGTTTTGTTCCATATGGCATGAACAATGATCTCGTCAAATGCTTTACAATGCATTTCTTACCTTGACAGGAGTGCAGCAGCAGTTCCTGAAGAGATGTAAGAAGAAGGTGCTGAAATCACAAGATAGCACTCCACGAAGGAGGAGTGGAAGGTTGATGAATGTTATGTTCAGAACAAAAACCAAGCTGCATGGGGGACTGGGGCAAATTGATCTCGTTGGTGACGAATCAGCACAAACTGGGAAGTCTATCGAAGGTGAGGGCATTAGTGAAGACGAAGACAAAGAAATGGGAGAAGTTCAACTGAAGTCACTAATTAATGTTTTAATTAGTGACTTGGCATGGGGATTATGATCTGTTTGTTTTATGTTTTTAGGACTTGCATTTGGGTGACATTTTGATGTTTTGGTTTGGTGCACAGCCACTGACTAAGTCGATCACTGGCTTGTTCATTTTGCAAGATGGGGTTGAATTGTTGCTCGAAATGTGCGTAGTTAGTAGTATCTTTTATTATTTAACAAGAATTCTAGTTTAAAAATTATGGGACGTTAGTGATGTTTAGTCAACATTTATTTTGCAAAAGTAATTAGGTAATACCTGACAAGTTTATGAAAGTCATTGATTAGCGTAATCAGCGATTGGATAATATTTCCATATGAGTGTTGATTGTGGTATTAAACGTGAATGCACGGTGCTCATTCATTTGTGTACGTGTATGCGTATTTTAGTGCAGTAGTATTGAGTTATTTTTCGAGTGTTTGAGGGAGAATTTGATTACGGAGAAGGTAAATAACTTCTTGCAGGATAAATAGTGTTTTGGTGCGGTTTGGAGGTGTTTGAATGCAACGTAAGAGTTCTTTATAAAGATGTGGTGTTGTTGAAAGTTGTGATTTGGGACAATGGTTAAACGAGATTCTGGACACATTCGGTTAATAAACGAAAATGGGAAGAACGAATGGGTGACGCTTTTTAACACTCATAATCCCCTGTTATTTTATGGGTATCCAAAGTTTATATAAAAGTAACTATTAAGGCGTTTAATTCGTGTTTCATATAAGGTGAAGTGTGTGAGGCAGTGTTGGAACAGAAGTCTAACTTTTGATGATGTGGAGATACGTACAATGCATGAATTGATGAATAAATTATTTCATTGGTAATCAAAATTCGAGTAATATACAAGTAATGGGAAAAAATGAAAGGAGAGGGGGGGGCTTATATGGGACACATGAGTTCATCTTGTGCTAAAAAGATTCAACAAAAAAATATTAAATGTTTGTAGAAAAAAAGTAATATTATCTCAAAGTATTCATCGGACAATTTCTACTATCGTGATAGCCCAGCGCTTTGCAAGTTCGACACAAGCATTTGTTCTTCTTGCTTTGTTCAATCTGGAGCTCTTTAGCACTCTTGATGCGCTTACCACTACCCTTGTTGTGAGCGGGTTGAGGTGGAAGCACTTTAAACACTGATGGAGCGGGAACACCACAATAATTTTCAAAGAGGTTAGGTTCTCAAGTACCTGCCTTGGGCAAGTCTCCATCGTCGTGTGTGGGTTTGTTGCAGGTTGATGCAAAATGCTTATGACCTTCGCGGTTGCATACAACGTACCGCCACACAACAACACCCGAAACCTTCAAATTGGTGCTTTTACGAATGTCAAAACCTGCCAATACAACATATTCCTTGTAAAAATTAAATCCGTCCTCTAAGGATTAGAATACCATTCCCACTTTGGGCTTGGCCTCTTCAGGGCAGGCAGGAATAAATAAGTTGGATGAAGTCGAAATAATTTCGGTTGCATGTGTCGGGCCTTCGTTTGAAGTCATAGGTGTGTACCCTGGCCACAATCAACGGAGGAAGGTTAGCTAAATGCATTACGTAATTATAATTATGTAATACATGATTCAAAAAAAGCGAAATAGAGGACATATATATGAATAAATAAACACAGAAGGTGAGATACGACATGAAGCGTAATTTCATGAAAGTGGCCACAATTGACGAACAACAAAGAGAAAAGAAAACTAGCAAAAGACGAAATGTAGTCCACCAAAAAATAGTTACAGGCATTACCAATACCATTTTGAAGCATTGTTGAATTGACTAAGCATGATCAGCCGTGGGGGGTCATTTTGATGCAGTAAGCATGGTCAGACGATGGGGGGTCATTTAATGCAGTATGGAGACATGGTGATGCAATACAAAATGCATGAAATGCATTAAATAATAAAATATAACTCTTTTTAGACATAATGCATACAAAAATATATGGGTGCATTGTTTCATGAAGCTGTACTTAGTTTAACGAGCAACCTTTGAAACGATAACCCCATTAAGAAAAATTCTAAATCCAACCGTGGGGGGTCATTTTGATGCAGTAAGCATGGTCAGACGATGGGGGGTCATTTAATGCAGTATGAAGACATGGTGATGTAATACAAACTGCATGAAATGCATAAAGAAATAAAAAATAACCCTTTTTAGAAATAATGCATACACAAATATATGGGTGCAGTGTTTCATGAAGCTGTACTTAGTTTAACCAGCAACCTTTGAAACGATAACCCCATTAAGAAAAATTTTAAATCCCAAAAAAATTTATAAGTAATTTCACAGAGAATGTAAGCGCATCCATGGATCTAACGAACTGGAGAGGCTAGTGAAATTTACATACCATGGTTACGTAATTGTAGACAAAAAGAATCACAAAAAACACAAACCTGGAACCATGATAAAAGATCGAGCAACAACGACGCTCCCAATTACGGCCGAATTGGAGGTTAGGAAGAGTTTGGTAAATAAGGGTATTCATATCTCTAGAAAGGTTAGAGAGAAAATGGGGAAAGTGAATCAAATCGTGCGCGAGAAATCAGGGATGAGAACTCACGATGGTTTGCGTTGCGTTTGAAGGAAGTGCCGTAAAGACTTCTATGCCCTGGCGATAAGATTGAAAACTCATCAGATCGGACGGTTTATAGTTATTCTTATTTCTTTCATTAGATCTCTTTTTCACCGGAACCAAACTATATATACACACACACACACACACACACACACACACATATATATATATGGCCAGGTTTTTAGAGGAAGAAAGTTCCAGCGATTCCAGCGGCCGTCGTCGCCACATAAAGTTTCGTCGGGATTATCAACGGCCAATCTATGGCTTTAGGAAAACATCATATTTGTACACAGATGCTCCTCCCCGGCATCGTGAACCTTACCTCAAATCATACAGCAAATCTGGTTTTATCAAAAGATTCAACACCCAAAGCGCATATCCCAACAATAGAACATCAAATCTTTGCAGGCGTGACTCTAGATGGCCATTCAAATCCCCCGAGGTAAACGAATTGAAGAATTCATATGTGCTTTCATAACAGAGAATAATATTACCGGGTCAGAAAGCGGTCACCTCTCCATGGCCTAGCAAGAACATTAGTTTCAAATTCAGAATTCTCAATAAGGTATTTGAGCTATTTTACTCTATCTACAATAAGGTTTTCTGTATTACTTAAAGGGGGAGAAGAAACTTCCATTTATGGTTTGATTCTGATTCACTCAATTGGATCTTGGAATCTCTACCTAGAGTGATTTCCAGTGCTACTTGGGCTTGTGTTAAATTAGATGTTAAGAGAATAATGGAAATTGCTATTGACTGTAATCATAGGGGGGGATTATATTCGGATTTTGGCAGCTAGAAAAGAAGGTAACAGGTTCATTCATATCCCTTTTGGAGTACATAATGAAGGATCTAACCTGTTTCTTAAGGCATTGTTGTCCTTTGTTGAGAGAGCTGTGTTTAAACAAGGCTAAGGGGTTTGGGGTGTTTGGGGAAGCAGTAGCAGGGGATATAGAATTTGAGGGTCCAATGCACTCTAATGAAAAGATTCCTACACTTGCTTCTAAAGACACCCCGGTCTTAGAGCAAAATTTGAAGAATCTTAAGCTAAGCCCTAATATAAACAACTTGGTAGGTGATCCACTGTCTGACTCCCTATCCAAAAAGGATCATTCACATGAGGTGGTAGAATCAGCCCAAGAGTATGAAAAACAGTCTCTTAGTCTTGAGATCCATGACATTAGAGAACAGCCTTTGGAAGGGCAGGAACTACAACTTGGAAACTCTACTGACTAGTCTTATTGCTCGGTTATAACTTTTGAACTCGATCTACATAAGAAAAAGGAGAACATTGCTCAGCCAGAGTCTCCTTCATCATACAATACTCAATACCCCCAGCTTCCAAGAGTGTGCCTATCCCCCTTTGCTGCTGAGTTCATCCCCATTAAGCCCAACTCTTATGCAGCTCTATTTGATCAAAAAAATGACCCAAAAGATGGCAGGCCACACAAGGAAAATGAATTTGCCAAGATTGATGATGGGAACATGGTACTTAGTAACAATGCACTAGAGGACATCTGGGAAGAAAGAGAGGGGCCTATCTTATTTACGCATTCCGAGGGAGAAGACAAGATCTTCAATGACAACACTCTCAAACCTCTTCAAATTGGTTACTCAAGGATGTTCAAGACACCTTTCGATTTGGGGAGAGAATTCAAGGGTAGGCACATCTACTCGCCTTCTCAAATAGTAACACAAAGTAAGGCAAAGATTCTGAAAGAAGGGAGAAAGAAAACACCAATTGGATGGGAGGAAAGGTCAAATGGTTCAGATTCAAATTTTGCAGAAGACATTAGAAATTTTTTCAAGGAATGCTGCCCAAACAAACTAGAAAAAGCAACCAAAAAGCAGACCACAAATAAGCCTTTAACCAAGAGCCAAAAGAAAAGGTCTAAAAAGAAACTTAAGAAGAAATTGGTAGGAGGGCAGGAAAATGATGATTCTGATTGATCTCGAATGATTTTTTTGTGATAAATTAGTTGAGTATCTTTTATGGTGTGGTCTTTGGCCTATGATTTTATTTCTGTTCCATGGTTGCTTGTTTACTACTAGGGGCAGTAGGGTTTTTCCTTTGCAGGTATTAGAGGCATTTGAATGGTTTACATGGTTTTTTTTCTCGTTTGGGAATGGCTATTTCATGGCATGGGCTTGCTTAGGGGTTGCCCTCTAATTGGCAGGACTTGGCAAGGGTTTGGGCTGCATTAGGGCAGACATGGGTTCTCAAACTTGATGGTTTCTTCCAGATTCTCGCTATCCTACGTAGTCCTGCACTTACCTTGAAGGAGGTAGACTCAAACATTGAGGAACCCATTGTAGATTGGTTTTGAATCTGCTAGATAATGTGATGAACTTAGCAGGTGGATTGAAAAGGTCACTGATTTACATTGGTGGGGATGATGGCAAGAGCAAGAGCAGGAAAACATCACTCTTTAGTTAGCAGATGGATTGGACTTCGGGACATATTATGCTCACTCGCTTTTTGTTGTCTAGTATTTAATTTCTTTCTTTTAGGGCATTATGCAGGCCCTTTGTACTTGGATTATCTTGCTCTTTTTATTGGCCGGTCTGTTTGGGTTTGGCCACCCCATAACTTTGTATTCCTTTTTTTCACTTAATAAAATTCTCTTTTCATAAATAAATAAATAAATAAATATATATATATATATACACATACATATATATATACATATATATATATATATATACATACATATATATATACATATATATATATAAATATATATATATATATATATATATATATATATATATATATATATATATATATATATATATATATATATATATATATATATATATATATATATATATATATATATATATATATATATATATATATATATATATATATATATATATATATATATATACTTCCTCCGTCCATAAAAGAACTTCCCACTTTCCTTTTTCGTCCGT